GCGACGACGACAAACAAAGGGATGTCATGGCGGTGCCACAGATTGGTAAAATCTTCTTTGGATTTCGCTTCTCGTGATGCGTTCTGTTCTCCAACATCACCTTCAGTTGTGATGAAGCTCCTGAGGTAGTTGAAGCTAACGATTAATTCTAGATGACCAACACAAAGGTGAGTGCATGCACAGGCGCCTGGTGGTCTTTTATAGGTACTTCGCACTTAAATGATGCAAAGCACATACCACACCAAACAAATAGCAGAAGTGCTCGCAATGAGAAGACAATGAATAAATGGTCACACACGCCAAGTCTGCATGTTGTTTCTGATGACCGGACTTTCCCAGGTATAATTGTCCTCATGTGTGTTTCCTCGAATGTACCCATTGTGACACGAGTCATTTGTGTGTCAGAGGGTTTATATCTGTTTCTCAGACAGGGGTCTGAACGAACGGGACTATTTGAATTGAGGTCAGGAACGCTGGTCAGTTACATGAATACAAACTTAGTCGGGAGACATGGCGTCTTCAGAATTCAAAAACTGAAAACCTAAAGTGCGATTCAGCTGCATTGACAGGAGCGAATAACCTCGAAGCATCAAAATCTGAAAGGTTGCATGGTACCAAGTGATTACAGTTAATCCCAATAGGGAGCATGAGAAGATAACCAAAGCACGTACCATAAACGGGACGTACGCCCCCTTGACTAACAGCGAATTCCGGTACGGAAATACGTTTTATTTGAGGCTGTTGTTGTTGTTGTCGTTGCTGTTGCTGCTGTGTTGTGTGGAACACCAAGGCACCCGGTCCGTGATTCGGAAATCCACTGTGGCCTGGGGAGGACGAGTTGGGAACCGTAGTGGATAAGAGCGGACGTGTGACTGGAATAACATTGCCCGCTTTGGCCGGGATAGGAATGGATTGTGGTGAACTTCGTTGCTGAGGATGAACGATCTGCGGTTGCTGATTGTTGTGTGGAGCACTGCATGGTGCAAGGGGTTGTATCGGAGATGAATGCGTTTAGGCTCGATGTAATATTAGCATGTGAGTCAATAATAATAGAAGCGGAAGCACAGTACGTTTTATCGACAAGATGAACAATATACACGCAACGTTTAGAAAGTAAGAACAAATCAACCAAAAGCAGCCATGGAACGGAAAGCAGCAGGATAATCGACTGACAGTATCGGGACTCCAACACATGCACTTAGGGCTAGGATGACCACAATCAATACCGGTTGATCAGGTCGCAAAGTCTACATGTGAAAGGATAAGTTGAAAGGTCTTAAACATTGAAACGACAAATAGTGCAGGTCGGTTACCAAAATAATAAAATATACGGAATTCCTATTGGACTCCACATTACATAGCTGAGCTATGAAAAATTTCGACCTCACAGACTCAGATGCTTAAAATCGCATCGATCTTAAGTTTCCGTCTTTAAAATACCGGGACAACACAATGAATACCCATCAAAAGTGTGCTAAAAACAGTGAGGTTTGTAATTCTTTAAAATTCATAGATTAACAGCAAAACAGGTCGTTATCGTTTTAAATGCCTCCTACACAATTTAGTGCCCCCTATTCATTTTCACAGGTTTTCTCGAGCAACAATTCTGAACTCTAGGCTATTATTTTGTTGTAGGTCGTGTCTCTTTTATACCCCCGGGACACCATCGTACAACTATTACATGAAAAGCCGGAAAGGGCCTCTCGATTGGCGTATGAGCCATCGTTGAAATAGGATCTCACTCACTGTATCTCCTTTGAATGGCAAACGGATGAACAAATCTTTCTCACACTTTGCATAGGAATTTTCGGTATTTGTTCAATGTTTGATGAAACGATCCGGGTGTTCATTCTCACACAAGGTGTTTCTAATGAGCGTCAGCTCATCATCCAACACCTCAGAGCAAATTGTTCGCCTACTAGTGGCCAAGCATTCGACTAAGTTGCGTTTGGATGCTAACGAAACTATTGAAATTGGTGTACTGGCCAGTCCATGTTGATTTTCGGTAAAACTTTCGTACGATCCGACCATCTTCCATTAGGCTAAGTGATATATCCAAGAAGGATAGTTGATTGTTCGTTTCACGTTCGATTGTGAGACGTGCTGCTTTGTGCGCCTTACTAAATTCCAATAAGACGGATGTTAAATCACAGCTAGTATCAGTCATGCGTAAACTCCTGCTTCGTTGTACTCTTAATATCCAGTTATTATTCAATCAAACCTCGTACAGACAACGAGATAGTGTGCTCATGGGATCACCATTGGGTCAACTCCTTGCTGATGCCTTCCTCGCAAAACTGGAAAGAACTGAATCAAAGTCCGTAATTGATAGTGTAGAACATTACTACCGATATGTGGACGACATATTTCGCGTGACTGCTACTAGCTGCGACTTACCATCCGTGTTATATCCTTATTGTGTGTGGTGTGGAAAGATTCTAGCTTCGAATGCGGCTACGAGACATCCGCGAATAACACTTCCAGCTAGGAGAACACACCAACATCTATGGATGTGCCCTAGCCAGCTCAGACGATGCAGTGAAATAGTTTCCCTCGGTGGAAGACTATCTGACCCTAACACACGTCGTCTGATCTCCTCCTTATTCACGCGATGCTCCCACCATACGCGGGCGATGTTGCGCAGACAACAATTGTCAATGACGGATAGTAGTTAGACATATTCTGCTCGGGGAGGCCAAGTTTCGCAGCCGTGGAGCAACACGGTGCGTACCGTTGCGCAACACACGCCCATTCACTGAAAGGGATACGTCGCGCCGGCACCAAAGTTGCGCAGATTTGCAAACGGTAATCTACCATTGATTAGGCGTTCAGATCTCCTCATCTACATCTCCGCCAGCCGTTATACAACTCCCGAAGTATACAAAACTTTCGACTACTTCCAGAGTGTGCTTACCTAGCGAAAGTGCAGGAACAGGTTCCTGCCGATCTTGCAACAACACCTTGCACTTTGAAGGTGCAAATGACATGCCAAGACGAGTAACCTCAATTGCCGAAGGATTCAGATAGTATTGAATCGTCAGTGCTTCGTCAACGAGTGAGGAACATCATCGGCATACTCCGGGTCTACGACTCTGCCTCCAAGAAGAAGCTGGACGGTAGCGTTCGTTACGTTAGGTAACACTTTTTGTTGACCAACTAGACCTGTTGCCAGGTGTGGACACCACGCACATGAAATGTAGGGTTACTTTATGGTAAAATGCCATACATTTCATATACGTAGTGTCTCCGCTTGGTCAAATCAACTTAATGAACGAATTTTTTGGTTCACAAGCACCTATACAGATGAAAAAAGGATCTATGAATTTTGAAGACTAGGCTGGAAGTCAGAACCACCAAGTAAACACTACCGTGGAGCGTGCGTTTGTGTTGATTATTTGCGCAGTTATGAAGCAAGTGTAAGAGTTGCTTCCGTCGAAAAAAATTTGGCCGGCAACAGCCACAAGAAGTAAGTCCTACAACTGCCAGAATAGCAAGCACAAAGTTATTCCTTGCATCCACGTCGAAGTAACAATCAATCCACGAGCACAGCAACCGAAACAGATTCCACAAATGATTTAGAGGTGTGTGTACTCTTAGATTCTGTGTACAAGAAGCACATACAAAACCGCGGTATATATATATATATATATATTACATCAGGTAGGGTAGGGTATAAACAACTGAATGCGTGCCCTGGATACGCACAACCGGACTCACTGTTCTTGCTGTTCATCAGGCATGTGTAGCCCGTAATCTTTTGCCACTGCATTCAGTTTCGTTACAAATATTGCTACACCGGAGAAATTTCTTTGGAAAACCTTTTCAGAAACAGTCTTATATAGGAACGAATAGCATGATTCCATGTTTTGTACGTGGATTAGACGCTACTTACCGGACTGGTTCTGAAATGACTATACTGAGCGTTGCAAATGATATATATATATATATATATATATATATATATATATATATATACAACGAAAATCGATTTTATGGATACAAGTATATGAATGAACTGACCAAATATTACCGGATACGTATCATTAGTTACTCCAAACAGGAGATATTCCAAAATCGTACAGCTGAAGTTTAGGTACGTAAAACGGAATACAGTAATAGAAGTATGAGTGTGTCTTGCACCGCATATTAACACCAAATAGTCTTGTGTTTTTATTCTGGTTGAAAGAGTCATTCCATGAGTCTAAAATAAACCTATTACAGCACAATTCATCGTTTTTGCTCTCTGTTATTATCCTATAAGGGGAATATTCATGCGAAAACAAGCATCTGATTTTTTTACTTTTCCACTTACTTTCTCCACCAAATACATTAGTTATGCCTTGGAGCTCAGCTGGAAAGTTAGGGACGATCGATAGAGGTAGTTGATAGGACTAACTTCATACGTGTCGGGTCGAACAAGGATTGATCGACGGGTTGCTATCCTTCAGGCCACAGCCAGAAACCGTGGAATGAGATCGGGAAGAAAGGTGAACGACAGACATGCGAAGCACGTTCCGAAATGGCCATTCGTCCCGAAATCCTCTAGAAATGCTCCCAAATGACCAAGCGCCTCAAATAGCTTCTGCTGAGGAAGTCCTACCCACTGCCTTCTCGTGGCGTAGGTGTTAACACTAAAATGGGAGGGCAAAGGCGAATGCTCGGCGCTTTCCACCGGGTTGACGGACCACTGGTAGTCAGTCTAGGGGAGTTCGTTAAACCCTGATTCCAAACCACCCACACCTGGCGTAAGAAGCTCATAGTGGCACCAATCTTCGGCGCAACCGAACCGGTCTCCAAATTTAATCCTTGGAGTTGACCACCGTGATGCTCACCGGCAAGTAAGCGGCTCAAGGGCAACCTGGGTACCCTGGATAGTTGGCCGCATCTGAAAGGCGTATGAACT